TACTGTTTTACAGCAGCCGGTTTGTGGTGATTTACGACAGCCCTCAGAAACCAGTGCAAAAGCTAAAGCTCCACTGTATGGGAAAGCCGAATCTGACGAAGCCATATGAAGATGTATTGGTAAAGCCATGGAGCTCTGTGGCTAAGGGAAGAGTTCTTCAGGTTCCCAAGGAGGAAAAGAAACTCACTTGTAAGGAGGAAAACTAAAGACGGCCTCAGATTTCTCATGAACACTCGGTGTTGAAAGACACTGGAGAAATGAAGTGGTGTTGATGGACTCGAATGCATGAGAGCCAGGCAGCTCATTCTTCCAGGTTAAAGGCCTTGTGAGCGCCAGTCGGGGGTGGGCCCACCACATGCGGGCCTGGGGCTGGGAGGAGGCGGCGAACCTGCTTCCTTGTGGGATGACTATCTGTGAGAAACAGTTATCAAAAGTGAGCCTGGATAGCTAAACTTGGAAACAGCCCAAGTGCCCATCAACTGGAGACTGGGTAAAGAAAATGTGGTTTTTTTATAAAATGGAGTACTACTCAGCCATCCAAAACGAGAAATTAGAGACATTTATAGCTAAGTGGATGCACATTGAGGCCATCCTCTTAAGTGAAATAAACAGGACACACGTGTAAATACCAAATAGTTTCTCTAGTGTGAGAAACTTAAAGTGTAAATAAGAACTAAAAGGTATAATAGATAATGTGAAATAGGAAGAAAAGGGGCAAAGGGGAAGGGGAAGTGGGAGGGGTAGGGGAAAGGAAAGAAGGGAAAGGAAAAAAATATGAGAAAATGAAAAAATGGAAACAAAGTCTTTGTAAATAGGGAAGGATGAAGGGGTTGAAGGGAGGGCAGGGGAAGGGGGAAAAATAAGAACCAAGAGAGATTATGTAAAGGTACAGATTTCCAATGATGAATGTCATTATATTGTATACCTAAAATGTACCGATAAAACTTTTTTTAAAAAAGTGAACCTGGAGAACATAACAGTGGTATAATCTGTCGCATGATTTGCGGACATTTTAAAGGACGATCAGCACCACCAGGACATTCCTCCTTGATGGAAGGCAATGGTGACAGACGGCGGGGATACAGGCAAGTAGGTGAAAAAAGGGGTCAGGCACATGGCGTAAAATGCCAAGACAGACCCCTCACAGAGGTAAAGGTGACGCTGCACCCTCACATGGCTTCCGTTGCTCCCTGCTGGTATTTAGGGTTGAGGTCTAAAATGTCCCCTAAAAGTCTCATGTGCACAGAGCGGGGCTCTTGGAAGGTGATTAAATCGTGGGAGCGCTGTGCGCATCGTGGACTTATCCAGGGATGAGTCCTCGGAAGGAAGTGGGGCCTGGTTAGAAGAGGTGTTTCTCAGTCGCTTTTCTCACTGCTGGGACAAAATACCTGACACTCACACTTAAAGGAGGAGAGTCTTGTCTTGCTCACGGTTTTGAGAGGTTTCCCTTCATGGTGAGCTGGCTCCAAGCAGCAATTGCATGGCACAGAGGCATCCTGGGTGAAAAGCTGCTCGTGTCATGGCAGACAGGAAGCAGAGAGCCAAGGGAGGGAGGGGCCGAGGAGGGAGAGATGCTCTTCCGGGTCACGCCTGCTGTGAGCCCGGGGCAGCACACTCCACTGCTGAACTCATTAGTGGATGAATCCCCTGCTGACTACAGGTCCCTCATGATCCATTCACCTCCCAGAAGCCTCACTTCTGACCACATCAGAGTTTCGGGGCACTGTGACAAGATGTGTCGCTGGGTCGTGGCCTTGCAGGATATATTTTCCTCCCTAGCTCTTCCATTTTTCATTGTTTCCCGTCTTCCATGAGGTGAGCAGCTGTCCTCCACTGTGTCCTTTCACGATACTGCTTCAGCCTTGGAGCCAACTAACCATGGACTAAAAGTCAAAATAAACCTCTTCTCCTGTAAGGTACAGGTGTCAGGTATTTTGTTCCAGCGATGAGAAAATGACTAAGACACCTGTAGGCCCCCCCCCCGCCTGCTCCAAGAGCTTGCTTTTGTCAGATCTCAGAATGGGGACCCCACAAACACATCCTGAATTGCTAGAACAAGAGAAGAGTTTAAAGGGTAGCATATAAAATCACAAAGAAAACAACAAAATAAAAATGTTCATCAAACTTGCAAACCACACCAAAAGAATTCTTAAAACAAGGAAGTCCTGAAGAAAGGATTTTAAAAACAAAGGAAGAAACCTTGAAACAGAAAGAGGACGGGTATGTCATTGGATATATATTATGTGGGGTAAACATATCTCTTAAAAGAATTGAGAGGTTCCCAATGATAAATGTAAATGAATTGTATACCTAAAATGTACCAATAAAATGTACCAATAAAATTAATTTTAAAAAAAAAGAATTGAGAGGTTTTTAAATAGCACTTAGATCCTGATATCCCTTTTCCCTTTTTTCCTTTGAGAATCGTGTTGTGATAAGCCTCCACAATTTAGTATCTGTGAGCAGACAGCAAGGAAGCCTGGCGCAGCAGGAATATCTGGTTGAGCCACACTGACCTACACACGGGTCTCCCACACCTGCCTGCGCTGTTCACTGACATGGGATCCACACGCAGATGTCTCAGCTCCCACCAGTTCGTCTCCCATAAAGTCCAAGTTCAGTCACCTCGTCACGTGCTGCGGCTCCACACCCAAGGATTCAGCCAACCACAAATAAAAATATTAGGAGAAAATTGTATTGAAAGTGCAGGCACTTTCCTGTCGTGATCCCCTAACCAGTGCAGCATGACAACTGTCATTTGCACTGTGTTAGTTATTCTAAGTATGCTGGGGTCATGTGAAGTACTCGGGAGGACTGTGTAGCTTACTTGCAGATACCAGCCCCTTCCATGCACTGGGCTTGAGCATCCTGGGATTTGGGTTTCTGGGGGTCCTGGACCCAGTCCCTCAGACTCTGAGGAAGGACTGTAAACTTGAATAATTAGTTGGTGCCCCTTTCAGGTTTATGAGAAATTCATATCTAATAAAAGTTGTAGTTGGGAACTTGGGCCGTCTTTTCCAAAACAGTAGAACAAATTAAGTTCAAGAACTGAAGTTTCAGTGTGTATTTTACCATCTAAAAATCAGTTCCGTAGGGGAGTAAGATCTTATAGTGAGATCTGAACCTAACAGGCCAGTGGTGGTGGCTGGCGGGAAGCGGACAGAAGAAGGAAGCAAGGACTGGTTAGGAAAAGGTGGAGGATGACCATGGCAGGGTCCACGGTGGTCCTGCTGGAGTGGAGGGAAGGCAGCACCAGAGATGGCTCTGAGCCACTGGGCCTCCCAGATGTGGCTGAGCTGAGTTACAGACGGCAAAGTCCCAGGGCTGGGGCAGGTTTGGGTTGCTGGCGGTGCCCTTCCGACTTACCAGGGCGTATTCGTTTCCTGGGCTGCTGTCACAGAGCACTATACACTGGGGGATTGCACAGACAGGACTAGCTCCCCTCACCATTCCAGCAGGTGGAAGTCTGAGGTCGTGGTGTGGCCAAGACCACGCTTCCTCCGAGACTCTGGCAGAGCCGCCTCAGCTCCCGGTGTGGCCTCCATCCACAGCGCCCTGTAGCTGTGTGACCGTGACCGCTGCCCCTGTGGCCCCATGGCACCCGCCTGTGTGTCTCTGTCTTTACACGTGTGGCCTCCCCACGGGAGGATTAGGATTCAGCCATGGACTTCTCCGTAACTGGTTATGACCCTTAAAGCCCCTCCTTCCAAGTAACTCTCCACTTGCAGACACAGGGGCTAGGATTCCGACAAAGCACAGCTCCGAGACTCCAGGCAGAGCAGTTGGGTAGGTAAACCTGGAGTCCGGGGCAGGTCTCGGTGCTCATCAGCACATGGGAGGCATGGAGAGGTTCGCAGGGTACCCGAGGGTGAATGCAGACAGATCGGGAACAACTCCAAGCTGAGCCCTGCGAAACTCCACCGTCTGGAGAGATGAGAAGCATCCAGCTGTGACACAGACCTGGAGGATCAGAGAGAGGTGGGAGGGAAATTAGCAAAGTGTGGCATCCTGGAATCCAAAGTGAAGAAAGGATTGTGAAATGGACTCAGATTCTTCTGTTGGGTCAGATAACAGGAGCTGGGCTTAGCAGACAGACGAAATTTTTAAAAATGTATTACAGTAAGTTTTGCCATGAATCTCCCTCACAATCCTTCCCCTCACTTCAAACACACTCTCCCATCATTCTTGGCACTTTCTGAAGCAGCTCTGGAAGACACCTTCCTGAGTGTCTTTATGAGGTGAGATCAGAAATACAGTGAGGCTGCTGTCCAGCGCCATCCAGTGAAAAGGGAGGCTGGTAAAACATGATGCTGTGTCCTCACCCACCTTAGTCACTGATCTGGCACCAGGTGACTTCAGCCTCTTCCTCAAAGTCAGAACGACCATGACTTTTTGAATTAACCCACGGCATTGAGGCAGCCATGATTCAAACTCACCGCACAAACATTATGAACTTGCATTTTTATTTTAGAGAAATTGCACCTCGGTAAAGCTACAAAAGCAACAGAAGCGACCCTTGTGGCAGCTTTCCCCAAATGCCCCCCAGGGACGAAGTGACACCAACTGCCGGGAGCTTGGGGACGCTCCTGAGAAGGGGGCCATGTCAGATTTGGTTTTCCCAGAAAGACTGGCAGAGACAAGAAGGGGCGTTTCCATCGGGGAGCACCTGGCAAAGGCCCCAGTGTAACAGGAGCTGGCCCTTGTTTGCAGGGACCAATGGTGTGAAAGGGAAGCTGCGTTACTCAAGAGAGTTGTTCCTCACTGCCCAGGGTGTGTCTCAGCCGAAGCCATTTCTGCCTGTGCTGCAGGCTTCTTCATGGGCTAGTTCAGATTTCAGTTTATTACAGCTTTTTCCACTCACCAGTGTATGTTCTTGCCAACTGATAAAGCGCTCTTGGTACTTAATTTTTTAAAAATAAAAATTACTCAAGAATATTTCCTTATTCAAATAACCCAATGCTCTCTGTTTTGTTTTGTTTTTTCTCCTCAAAACACAAAAGCTACAGATTCTCGTCGACACTGGAAGCAGCAACTTCGCTGTGGCAGGTGCACCACATTCCTACGTTGACTCCTACTTTGACTCAGAGAGGTAAGTGGGCCATGTAGCTGGCGTGGCTGGGTTTGGGGACATGACGTGAAGTGGCACACTTCCCAGTATCCTAGAGCGAAACAGACGGAAGACTGCCTCATTTTAGGGGCCATGGATACATGCACATATGTTTGTGTATAGACCTGCACATGCATGTGTGTGTCAAGCACATGTGTGTACACGTGTGGATGTGGATGCACACACACACATGCATATATTTCACTCCAGGGAATCCACAGCAGCATTGCCACGAGGCTAGGTGCGTTCACACAAGCTGGGCATTACAAAGTTTCAGGGAGACACAAGTGTTGTGGTTAGCCCAGAGTTTCAGGGAGCCTGTGGCCCTTTGACATTTACTGCAGCCCCTCTGGTCCTCACAGGGGGGCCAGAGCAAGGAAGCATCCTGTGAGAGCCTGAGGCGCCCTGTAAAGGTGTGCAGCAGGCATGGAAACCCACCTTTGCATATTCAGCAGGGCTGGGGCGGTTCTCGGAGCCGACTATGGGGAGAGAGATCCGTGACTCACTTGGAACTAAGTGCTGTGAGGACAGATCCGGGACCTGAGATGGGGTCTGCACCCTGATGATAATGGGGTGAAATTGTAAGAAAAGACGGCAGCCCCCCCGGAGGTTGCCAGAATACGGGGAGAGGCCCCGGGCTCCCATTTCCTGGGAGAACTAAGTGAGGTGCCGGGAGGACTCGCAGCGGCTCGTGTGACCTTCCAGCCCCGCAGGAACCCCAGGGTCTGAGTCCCCCTTCTGCGAGCTGGAAGCTACTCAAGGGTGTGCACATGTTAACTTCACATCTGCTTTGTTGTAACTGAAGCTTCACCTCTACAGGCAGAGCTGGTAAGCCAGCGTGCAGTGGTCTTTTTGAGGTCACAAGCTGTCTAGTGACTGTGGACTTCCCTACAGTGAATCCCTTCCATCCCTTCCCTTCCTCACTACCCTGAGCCACCAGCCTTTGTTCCAGAAGCTAAAGGCCAGCTTCAGTGAGGAAAGGGGCAGAAAAAGAAGCTGGGAGGCTTCTGAAGGTGCCGGGCAAATGAACAAAGTGAGCAGTCTGGGCTGTGGGGAAGAAATGACCGAGGAAACCGCCCGTACCTGTCTCACCTGCCCATGTCGTGGCTCTACTTGATGGCAGGTGACATGGTCTCCTGTATGCAGCTGCACCTGCTTTCTGGGGAGAGGGGTGTGGCCGCCAGTGGCCGACAGAGCCTCACAGGGCAACAGATCCCTGAGGGTGACCTGTCCTTCGCAGAACTTAGAGGGTCACGTGTGAGTCCTGTACTAATAAGGGTTGATCACTGATGCCCCAGGATACACAGCTGACCACCATCGACTTGGGACCAAGAAGGCTAATGTGTGCCGGAAGTTGCTGCTGTCACAACAGGCATGTGTGTGTGTGGAAGTGAGTGGGTTTCCCTGTGTGTGGGTGTGAAAGCAGGTGCTTTACGATGCCCTGTGCTGCCCTTTCCCCCTGAGACTGGAGGTTCAGCCCAGCCCTTTGGCCCCACGCAGCCCCCCGACTCCCAGTGCTTACTCTGAGTAGTCTCACCATGGAACAGGGCATCGGATTGGTCAGACCTCTCATTTTCATCCATGTTCCGGCAGCCAGGCCAGCAGTTCCCCAACTTTCTGCCCAACACCCCCTCTTTGTAACATGTGCTTTGTGAGGTGCTGAAATGAGATCAAGCATCGTATAACTCACTTGCGTACATAATTCTCACCGCCCTGATGTAATATCGCTGGGGCATCCCTAACTAGGGAATCTGAAATGCTCCAAAATCCAAAGCTTTTGAGCACCAACCTAATGCAGCAAGTGAAAAATTCCACCCCTGCCTCAGTGACAGGTTACAGCCAAACCACAATGTACTGAAAATACTGTGACACCTTCAGGCTGTATGTGTGAGGTGTATCTGAAACGTAAATAAATTCCATGTCCTGGCTCCCACAGTATCCCATCGTACATATGCAAAGATTCCCAAATCCGAAAAGATCCAAAACTTGAAATACTTCTGGTCCCAAATATTTTACATAAAGGACAGTGAACCTGTATGGGGGAAGAAATAGAAGTAATGTATAGCAAGATAATCAGTACCTCAATACGTGAGCAACCTGGCTTGGCCACCATGGTGGTGAGGGGCAGTGTCAACTTGATTGGCTTGGAGATCCACTTGAGGGTTGGCAGGGCACACTTCTAAGTATGTCTGGGCGGCCATGGAGGCACGGTCTTGGGGTCTGTGTATGGTCTCCCACCCTTTCCTCTTTGGCACTGTTTCTCTGCTCTTCTGCCCAGCTGCCATGAACTGAGCAGTGTTGCTGCACCACACACTTCCACCATGATGAGTCTGCATTGGAGCAGCTGACCATGGACTGAATCTCCTGAAACCACAAGCCACATAAACTTCTCTGAGCTGTGGGTGTTAGGTAATGGAAAGCTGACTAATACACCCAAACTCGGAGACAAGGAAGGAGGAGGATAGAGGTGTGTAGGTGTCACCGTGTGCATGTAACACCCAGTGTGGACTGGTCAGGACTGATGGAGTTAGACTCAGACATGCAGAGCAGCTTGGGTTGCTAATACAGTTTTCTGAAGTGGTGAAGAAACCTCATAAAAAAAATTTTTTTTAAGTATAATCTGCTCCCAGTTAGCAGATTTCCCCTGTGAAATCTGTGTAGAAAACTGTTATGGTCTGTGTTTAGTTGTCCCCCCAAAGCCTCATGCTGATGAGGTGGGACTTTGTTTTTCAGAGGAGGCTGAATCTGGACTGTGTGATGCTGGGGCTAAGGGTGTGTGATTACCAAACGACGACACTGAGTGGTTGGTTTGGCACTGCCCTAATCCCGATAGTCTGTATAGGATAAAAGGGGCCGAAAGACGCTGTTAAGGTCCCTTGTTGCCTTTGCTGCCTTGTGCACACCATGCTCTTTCTCCTCTGCCAAGCTTGTTTGCCATCCCAGCCTTGGAGCCAGCTGACCATGGACTGAACCTCTCCGAATTGTAAGCCAAATAAACCCCTTGCCCTCCAACTTTGGGTGTTGCGTATTTTGTCTCAGCAAGGAGAGAAAAGTAACTAACGTAAGAACGGTTAATGCCTATGAGAGAGGGAGGCACGTCCTGAGCTCAGGTGAGACTTTCACCAGTGTGGATGCCCAGACGGACGGGCACCTGTTCCTGTTCAGGAATCCATGACTTTGCTCCCATGACTTTAGTGACCAGGAGGAAATACCTGTCACTGTGTGTGACTAGGTCATGTTTTAGGGCAAGCAGTCTCTGCCCACACAATTGCGACCCCTGCACTGGGAACTGAACCCAGAGCCATTGCAATGAGCTCTGTCCAACCTTTGTTTTGTTTTTTTTTGAAACAGGCTCTTGCTCAGTTTCTGTTTGCACCTGGCCCTCCTGGCACCAGGGATCTTATGTCCTTTCCTGTCCTATAGCTGTTGACAGATGATACAACAGAGAGAAGCAGGAAGGCCAACCTGTGCAAGGCAGATTTAAATGTGCGGCCTTAGCCCTGACACGCCTTCCTAGCTGAAAGGAGGTAGAGGGTGGTTCTCTGGCAGCTGCCCATTGCTGCTTTCACAGAGCTCAAAGTTTGCCTCTCCACCCAGCTGTCATTCTGTGCAAGTGTGGGAACACCCAAGGGTGAATCACAGTCCCCATCACAACAGTGCACCTGTCACTTAGTGATATTTAATCCCCGGGAACCCGCTGGGCCTGCTTCTCGGGGGGCCTCTGCCTGTGGCCACTGCTAGGATGAGGTGTGGCTCCCGCGGGGCTCAGGAGGCCGCACCTGTCCGACTGCCCTGCTGAGCTTGCCAGGCTTGTGGGTGGATGTTGTGCCTGCAGCCAGGTGTGTGCTGGGGCGGCCAGGGGTGTGCTGGGGCCGCAGGTGGCTCCCTTTTGTCCTATTAGAGGTTGGGCTTCTCCATCCCAGCTGCATCAGAATTAAGGGACGCTCCTGGGGCCTCTGTGGTTCCCTGAATGGCCAGGCCTTCTCTCTGCTAATCTCACAGCGGAATTATAGTCACCCACTGGCTTTTTGACCACTGAAGTGTCCAGTCCCCCTTTGTGAATAAATGAAAAGAGAAATAACAGGGCCCACCCGTGTGTGGGGAACCCCAGCCTTCCCTCCAGATCAGCTTCAAACACCCCTCCCTGCCCCCACGCACCGCCCCTTCCGCCTTGGTACCTCCTGAGCGAGAACGGCAGGCATGTGCTTCCTGCGTGTGAAACAGCACCACATCCGGGTCCCTGAGCCAGGAGCCACCTCCTTTTCCCAGAGAACATTCTTCAGCAAGGCCGCAAGCCTTCTTAGCCGAATCCGACAGGCAGCCTGAGTTGCAGACAGGTTCTGACCCAGCCCTGTTGCCTCCTTTATGGATGATCTCCTTTCTGAGATTAACCTTAACCTTCTTCTCCCTTTTTTCCCTCTATTTTCTAAACTTCTCATAGTCTTATAGTCGAAGCAGATTTATTACTGTAAAGATACAAATATTTTCTTTCCCTGGAAGTTATGTGATACTTAGTTTGCCTGTTGCTTTTTGCCAACTTTAACCTTCGGCTGTTTTCAGCTATTATAATTTATGGAAGCCAAGAGAACACTCAATTTTTGACAAAAGTGACTTTCCTGGGATGTGGCTTCCTGTCCAGTGATGTGCTGACACTTGCTTCAGCCTCTGATCTCACTTAGTTATAATAAGGTTTCTGGCTGAATTTGTCAGCTCCGATTCAAGTCCCCAGTCTTGGGGTATTTGGGTTTAGTGCTTCCTGAAATGCCCTACAGTAATTGGAAGTTGGGCTTGGGGTTCTTTGACAAGATCTCTTTGATTTATAGCAGTAGATTTCAGGCTCCTGTGAGTCACTCGTATAGCTTCTCTCCATCCGAAGCCCTCTTTGCATGGGGCAGGCGCACCAGTGAGGTACTGTACAGGAGGAAGAAAAGTCGTGCATTTTTTAAATGCAGTTCTTCTCAGCCAATAAAATAGTGTCCTGCCAGTTGGCTTGATGAGTGGTCTATCCAGTATGTGCGTCCTGGCCTTTCTCCGTATCTATTCGGGAAATTACACATGCATTTCCATAAACAGCTCCTCGCTCCTGTACTCCATCTGGGGTAAAGCCTGCGGAGCAGGTGTAACAGGAAACCCATTTACAGGATTTTTGCAGCTGATGCCTAGAAGTGGACCGAGGTCCATGAAGGGGACTGGCATTTCCGGGCCCTTGCTGAAGATCTCAGTGTACCCCGAGGCTGGTACATCAGGCTTACTGAGCTGCCTCGGGGATCCTATGGCTGTTCTGGTGACTTCCAGAATCCTGGAGGAGCCAGGTGACAGCTGGGCCAGGCCACCAAGCCCGCAGGCAGGTTCCAGATGCTTCCAAGTGCAGAGGAGCCCAGGGGACTCTGAGGCAGAGCCTGGAGACCCCGCCTCCCTGGGTGGGTTGGCTCTGGAGAACCGAGAGGAGAATTCCTCCCTTCTACCTTCTCCTCTTACGCATTCTAAAAACAATGGAGAGTTCAAAATAATAACGATAAGATGTTCTGTGGGGGCTCTGTTCTCCCTTTCGATGGATTCTGCTTTTTAATCTTGCCTTCCACGGACTCCCTGATCAGAGGCAGCATCTTCCGAATTTGTTGGAAAGCACTCTCCTTGCTGTGAGCAGACTTTTTCCTGGCTTTTCACACTCTTGACTGATTGCTTTTTCCGAGCATCCAAATGAGGAGCCCACCCAGGATCCTCTCCATACGCATAATTAATACGGAGAAGTTGAGGATCAAAGCCGTTAGAAAATGAAGTTGGGGCTTTTTAAAAATTTAAAGTACTGGAAACTATATGCTAATACCTGCAGAGTTGCTTGGAAGTCCTCTCCGGGGTTGCCCTCTTTAAGGATTAGTGAGAGGAACCCAGAGAACAAGAGCTCAGAATTACTTTTGTCTCACATTGTCTCTGGCAGTATTTCTACAAGGGTGGCCACTGATCACTGTGGCTATTTAAATGCAAATTAATTCATATGAAATGAAATAAAAGCCTGGTTCTTGGGTCACACCAGCCTCACAGTTTCAAGTGTTTGGTGGCTGCGTGTGGCTCCCGTATCGGACAGCATCTCTGTGGAGCTCTTTTAATCTGCAGAATTAACAGGAAGTATCGTAGTAGATTATCTCCATGTTCCAGTTGAGGAAACTGAGGCACAGGGGACTTAAATAACTTGGCCCCAGTCACATGGGAAAAGAGCAGTTGAGCTTGTGCTTGAACCCGGGCACTGTAACTCCCCTGCCCCTCCTCTCTGCAGAGGCACTGACATCTCCACAGTGCCTCCATCAAGGCTCGCAGCCTAGGCAGCAACTGTAAAGGACATGCTTAGTTGCCCAGGCTGGTTCAGTTTCTCACTCTAAGGACTTTGCTGTAGGCTAGAGGGAGTCAAAAATAAAACATGTCTTCAAAAGGGACCTGTAGCAGGGGAGGCTACTTGAGGAAGATAACTAATCTCCTAGACCAAGGAGTGGCACACGAGCTGTCTTAGTTACCTTCTGTCACTGAGAAAAATATCAGACACCCACAACTTAGAGGAAGAAAGGTCTGTTTTGGCCCAGTTTCACAGCACCGTCAGATGGCTTTGAGGCAGGAACGGTCTGGCGGAGGAGAGCTGCTCACATCATGGCTGACAGGAAGCAGAGAGAGCAGGAGGAGCCAGGCAAGGAGATGGACCCTTCCAGGCTACTCCCCCAGTGACCACCTCTTCCAACCAGACTCCACCTCCTATCAGCAAGTCAGTGATATTGCCCCCATGATTCAGTGACCTTCCAAAAGCCATGCCGATGAGCTCATGAGGTCTTTGGGAGACACTCGATCCTAACCACAGCACTAGTCATAGGGCCAAATCGGACTGCTGCCCGTCTTTGTATAGAAAGTTTTACTGGAACACAGCCTCACATGTTCCTTTCTGTATCCCCTATGGCTGCTTCCACATCAGAGCTGCAGAGCTCAGCAGCCATAACGGAGAGCTTGGAGTGTGCAAATCCTAGAGTATTGGGGGCCAGCTCTTCATAGAAAATTGTGCTGACCTCTCTCCTGAGGAATGTCTGGTGGATCTGTCAGCTCAGCGTGCCGGGTTCAGTTTGCTCCCACCTTTCTCTCTCTGTGTGTTCATTCTTACGAGATGTGTGGGTGCAACATGTTCATTTAATGTCTCTTACTTTAAGGCCATGGTGGAGTGAACAGAAATAATAAGCAGATATTAAAATTCAGCACTCTTCGTCATCTGTACCTCATTATCCTGTTCCAATTATTTAAATTTCCCTAAGACTTGTTTACCAGACATTTTCAAAATAACATTTTTTCCTGATTCTAAGAGTTTCAGATGCAGAGAATGTGGAATAATTTAGCCACAGATACAGAAGTGCCCCCACCCCCACCCCACCTACCCAGAGGCAGCCAGCACTGATATTTGACAGGGATGAGTAATTTTTCAGTAGATTCTGCCACATGTGTCCATTTTTCTTCTAACTTCATTTTCTCCATGTTATTTAAAATGTCTTAGTAAAAATTATTTTTCATTGCTAGATAGTAATCTGTCATATGGGTGGATCATAATTTATTGAGTTATTGTTTCCTTTTTACTGGCCCTCAGGGTTGTCCCCAGTTGTTTGCTATCATTGGTAAAATATAGGGACCGTCTTTGTGCATGAGCTGCTGTCTTTTTCCTTGCTCTGCCCTCAGGATCAGACTCTCAGAAGAGCATGAGTTAAACATGGTTGATATTTTTAAGGCTTATGAGATGTACCAAAAGTAACACATAAATGAAAGGTCAGACCATTCTGACTTCCTGTCTGACCCCGAGCAAGAGGCTACTCGTGCTTATATTCCTACAGCAGAGACCCACCAGTGTCTCAGCATGGCACTAGCTGTCAGAACAGTAAAATGAAACTCAGGCAAACAGGGACCCTTTGAAAGTATTTACTTGGTGCTTTGACTTTTCTCTGAGGAATTTGGTTGCTTGCTTGGGGGACAGCCTGGATGAATGTCCTGACATCTGCCTGGAGATATTTTTTAGTTTTAAAATTCTAGGTATAACAGTGGCCTTGGAAACCCCAGGGCCTTGACACCTGCCCTCCTCTCCCCAGGATGGGTTCTCCCAGGAGCCACACAGCTCTGTGTCATCACTCAGGCCTCGTACAAGTGGCCTCAGGCTGCTTGCTCTTCCCTCCCCTGCCTGGCAGCCTGGTGGCTCTGCCTCGCTCTCACCGCACCGGAAGTTGTGTGTATACACACACCCATTGCCTGTGCTCCCTCGGGTACACCTGCTGAGCGGGATTCCCACCTGCCCCTTGCCCCTATTCCTGTTATTCTGCCCTTGAAGTTGCATCTGTGCTGGGTTCGAGTTCAGTGTGTCACCGGCCTTGTTGTCTGCATTTGGATGAAGATCATTGGCTCTGAGGCATTGGGCCATGCCTGAGGAGGGGCTGTATCGGTGACAGGCAGTGCAGGCTCTGAAGAGCAGGGACCTGGCTTTGGGTCTGGGCTTGGTCTTTCTTCATCTTAAGGGTCCTGTGCATGAATCTGCACCCCAGTCACTACTGGGGCGGGCTGGTGGCACCTTCTCCTGGGCTGTCTTGTGTCACAGAGTGGCAGCCAGAGTCCCTGCATAGCCAGGCCCGGGGCAGGCAGGTGGCCAGAGCTGGCCGTGTCCTTCAGGGCTCCTGCTTCAGGGCTGTGACAGGGTATGGGCTAATTTCAAGCACTGTGTTAGCACCAGGTCCTTAAAGGCACAGAAGTGTCCCGGTGTGGGCAGTGAGCATCAGTGATTTTGTCCCGGGAACCTTCCTGTGGTGGTCCACAGTGACAGCGTTAATCATCAGAGTCCCTTACAGTCGGCCTTGTCAGGCTGTCTGCTGCGATGCCCTCTGTCCTGTCTTTGAGGGCCGGGACAGTCTGATGGGGTGCTCTTCTCCTGCTGCAGGTCCAGCACATACCAGTCCAAGGGCTTCGATGTCACTGTGAAGTACACACAGGGCAGCTGGACGGGCCTCGTGGGCCAGGACGTCGTCACCATCCCCAAAGCCTTCAACTCTTCCTTTCTTGTCAACATCGCCGCCATCTTTGAGTCAGAGAATTTCTTTCTGCCTGGGATTAAGTGGAATGGAATCCTTGGACTCGCTTACGCCTCCCTGGCCAAGGTAAGTGGACTGGGGCAAATCCGTGGACTGGAGCAAATCCCATGACGGGGTGCGGCTCTGACAAGCAGCCTTGGAGACTGGAGAGCAGGAAAATCACGAAAACAGACATAAAATTTAAGGTACACAGCACCATTCTTGGAGTCTTCCTAGAAGAGATACTAACACTTGCATGGACTGTTTTTATTTTGGTTTTGTTTTAGTTCTGAAGCTTTAAAAAAACAATGTGAGCAGAATCTGAACCACGTTGCTGAGGCTGAGGGAATTTGCTTAGGAGTTTTCTCCTGTCACCTCCAGAGACCTCGGAGGAGACACAGGGCCCAGAAGTGGGAATTTCCATCCCCTCCTTGAGCGGAGAGCCAGGGAAGAATGGGGGAGCCCTGGCCCTCAGTGGCAGCCGAGCCTTCTGGGGTGACACAGAATTGGATGTTCTCTGATTATCGTCCTGGGGCCCAGCCCAGAGGAAACGGTGGTGAGCAGAAGAGGAGGGGCCAGGGAATTTTCCACCAGGAAGCAACCAGGTGCAGGCAGAACTGACGCAGGGGTGCTGCTGCTGGCCCTGGCGCTGTGGCCCGGCTCCTTGGGTCAGCCTCGGGCTTGGGGCCAGAGTTCGGAGTCAAGGAAGAAGTGTAGTTGCAGAACAATGGGCCCTGCTGCCCGAGGCCGAGCTGTAGAGCATTTGTTCAGCTCAGATTCTTAGGAACTGCTGCAGGCTGGGGAGCGGAGGAGGAGCCCAATGGGAAAGGATAAGAATGACCCAGCCCCGGGCACTTGGGTGAGAAAATTCACTCAGTGCTCAAGCCTCCTGCTCCTCTCGAGGCCGCAGTCTCCTCATGCTGGACATGGGGGCCCCTGAGAGAGAGGTACACCCCACCCTGCTGAGGCCAGAGCTCAGAGCCCAGTGCGGAGCCCCGCTGTCCTCGGTTCTGCAGAGCTAATGAAATAGATCTTTGGACCCACACAACTGACAGGAGTTTACATTCCTCAGTCCTTTCAGTATGACCTTGGGCAAAATGTCTCCCCTTCGTGTGGCTGTTTAAAAATGAAAGATGTGAGTAGGAGATGGATCTTATGCTAATTCTCCTGACGACATCAGAGTAAACCTAAATTATTTATAATTAACAATGTGTAACTAATAATGTGTCCAGCCGCCATGGCAGCACATTCCTTTGAGGTTTTTGTCAGGGGCTTTCCGGAGTCTCCCCGGGACCTTTCATCTGTTCCTTAATGTGATTCCAAGAGTTTTAACAAGTGGCTTCAGGCTCCGTCCGGGGTGGAGGAGCATAGATGATTTGTGAGGAGTGGGTTGTGTCGGGGGTCTGGCTGGGCATCCGGCGTCCTTGAAACAGGGCAGGCCTCAATGGGGGTAGCTTTCACCCTGGCACTTCCCTGTGGTTTGCTCCACTGCGGACACGCGGCCCATGTCCACCTGAGGATCGGCCTTCCTAGGACTCCTCCTCAGCCACTGTGCCACTTTAACCCCCTGGGGCATCCCAAGGCCTGGCCATGGTGCAGAAGGACTGGCAGGGAAATAGATCCCTAAGTGTCAGGCACTTTATGCAGATCGACCCACTTGGGCCGGGATGGCCTAGCAGGTGATGACTCCCCCATTTTACAGATCTCAGCTCCGGGCAGCATTTATGCCACCCACCCTGCCCCCTCCCAGGAAAGCGGACCAACTGGGTCCCCACCCCATCCTCAGGGACTCTCCGTCCCACTGACCCAACACAAAGTGATCTGCCCCAGGGTGCACTTGGAGAGTGCCCAGTTCTCCCCTGGGGTCCCGCACCTCGACACCCTGGTCTTCACGCTGAGTCCAGAACCTCTGTCTGTCTTTTCCCCTCCTGCAGCCATCAAGCTCCCTGGAGACATTCTTTGATTCCCTGGTGACCCAGGCCAAGATCCCTGACGTCTTCTCCATGCAGATGTGCGGGGCCGGATGGCCAGTAGCCAGATCGGGTACCAACGGAGGTAGTCTTGTGGGTATCTTTTAGTCTTAAAGGGACGAAAAATCACAAATTGATGGGGGTCATTCCTGTTCTCCTAGAAACCTGCTCAGGAATATCAGACATGTAGGCATACATAGGAACTGTAAAATTTTGATAATCCTTTTTATAGAACCTTTTAAAAGTAGATACAATTGGGTATTCTTTTTATCTTTCCTAATCCTCCTGCTGCCCGCAACTACAATTCCCATTTCTGCCCCTAAATTCCTTCACTGTCCTGGGAAAGTGAACAGCAGGTCTCGGAGAGGCAAGCCAGGACCAGTGGGGATTTGTCGCAGGTGGGGCCATGCTTGTGATGTCACTTGAGGGGATTGACAGAGACCCTTGGACATCTTCTGTCTTCCTCCCTCCCTTCCCTTCTTTCCCTCTCTCTCATTACATGCACACCATGAAGAACAGGGTATTTTCTACTGAAATGGATGCAAAGCCATCGGCCCTGTGGATATGCTGCCACCTAAGCTTCTCATTGGGGACTCTGCACCCAGACATCTAGAGTGGGGGACAGAAAGAAGGCACAGAAAGGGCACCTCCCAGGAAGGGTGCAGCCAGCCCCTCCACCCCACATCAGTTGCTCAGTCGCTGCCATCTGTCCTCAGTCCACCTGCTCCAAACTGTTCCATCCCCTCTGAGGAAAGAGCAGCTTAGGGTTTCTGGGGTGACTTTATATGGTTTTACATGATGACATTTTTGGTAGAAGAGCTCTTGTGTCTTGCTTTTCTCTTGCCTGGCCCTGAGGTGCTAAATCAGTGTGATAGCATGGTTAGCTATTCTACTGCATTCGTTTGGGGGCAGTCTCAGTGTGGTGGAACCGGAGGCGTGAATGCTGTTGTCAGACACAGGGAGGCACAGAGCATCTAGACAAGACCCGGACATTGTGTGCTCTTTGGAGATATGGCCCCCGAAACAGTCCTATTTAATTTTCCAACATTTGTATTTGTTTGAGAACATCACAGTGGGAGAGAAAATAATGATGTTGGTGACCTTTCACCCTGCAAGTGTGTGCTTCCATGGGGAAACTGTTGATTATCTGTGTGTTTTTTGTCCTACAGCTGACATTCTGTTTCTTCCCAGGTCCTGGGTGGGATTGAACCGAATTTGTATAAAGGTGACATCTGGTATACCCCCATTAAGGAGGAATGGTATTATCAGATAGAAATCCTGAAACTGGAAATCGGAGGCCAGAGCCTTAACTTGGACTGCAGAGAGGTGTGTACCTGTGTCTCTGTCATATGTGACTGAGTGGGCCTGGGTACTCCGGTGTCACAGCTGGACCCTGTCCCTGAAGGCCAAGGTGCATGCCATAGCAAGGCAGGCCAGAAGTTCCCCCCCAGAAGGATGCAGGGACTTGAGGGACAGGGCGCGGAAGTCAGTGGATCCCCCTCCCTCGTCCCACCACTGGGCTTTAATGTCCAGGGGTCAGCAAGGAGAACTGTGTCCAACCACTTTACCTTTCACCAGTCCTCTTGGCCTGATGGTCCCTGAACTCTGTAGAAAAGAATAAAATAAGCAGATATTTTACAATCAGTATTGGAAAACAAGACCAAAAACAAGCCAATTTTTTAAAAGTCATTAGCTTTATCTTCCAGCTGGAGCTAACCCTCTGCCTCCTGCATACACAACTTTTACCGAAGAAAATCGTAATCTGCATGTGTACATGCCTGGCAGTACCACAGCTAGCCCATGTGCCAGCTGTGATGCCCCACCTGCTGGCAGCTGTGTTCACAGCCTTGTGCTGTGTCTTGACTTCATTATGACATCACGATGAGGATGGCTGGAGGGAGCCTCTGTCTTCCGTGCCATTTTTAGCAGGGTTAATGAGAGCCCAGCCCTGACTTTGTTGAAGTGGCTCATAACCTCTAGAGGTAAACGGGTGCTCCCTCCACCATGGGGATGGGGCCCGGGTCCTCATGAGGGACTGCAGGCAGCTGGAGTGAGCACCTGGCTCTGCCCGGGGGTGCTGTCCACTGTAGTCATGCCACTGCCCTCCCTGGCCTCAGTTTCCCCATCCTTGTGTTCTGAGAACACGCAGTGAAATCTGGTCACCAGTGAGCTCATTGGCTGCATTGGTCTGTGGACGACAGGTGCGCGGCTGCGCTGGTGGGCAAGTGGGATGCGGATGTCACTCAGTGCCTTCTCCCCTCCCGCTGCAGTACAATGCGGACAAGGCCATTGTGGACAGTGGCACCACACTGCTGCGCCTGCCCCAGAAGGTGTTTGATGCGGTGGTGGATGCCGTGGCCCGCACATCTCTGGTGAGTCCACAGCTGCTCGTGTGCTATGAGTCTCTGAGCCATCACCTTGTGTCCTCTCAAGGTGCCCAGGATGGGCTTCTATAAAACATCACTTAGGGAGCTCTCAGTCTTGACTTGTGACATTCATTGACAAATAATGCCTTTTTTGTCTTTGCAATACTGAGTGATTAAATCTCGAATCTTTGCACTGAGCTACATCCCCACTCCTTTTTACTTTTTATTTCGAGACAGGGTCTCTCTAAGTCACTAAGTTGCCCATGTGGGGCTCAAACGTGGGATCCTTCTGCCTCAGCCTCCCAAAGGGCTGGGATTGTAGGTGTGCACCACCATACCTGCCTTCCATGCCTTCATTTTAACCCCAGAGGACCTGGCCCAGATGGTGTATGTCTTAGTTACTTTCTCTCTGCTGAAACCAAGTACCTGACTCTCTCAAATTAAAGCAGGAGAGGTTTGTTTTGGCCCATATTTTCTTTCAGTCCATAGTTGGCTGACTCCAAAGCAGGGCAGCATGGCGGAGGAGAAACAGTCCATGGCATGGTAGGCAGGAGAAAGCAGATCTTTCTTTCCCTTTTATTCCACCCAGGCTGCACACCCATTGGTTGGTGCCACCCATACCCAGGGGGTAGGTCTTCCCTCTTCTATAAATCCATTATCCACACCCAGAAGTGTGCTAAACTAATCAATGGACTCATCCAGTATCACACACCCATGATCAGTGCAATGGGCCCTTGACTTATGAACTCAATTTGTTCCCAAGGGCTGGTTATAACTCAAGTTGGTCCATGAAGGCTCAGGCTCCTCTACACAGCCTTGTGGGGCATCTAGATACAAGCCACAGCAATGTAGTATATTTTATCTGAGACAAAAATAATCCACCGTGTAACTACATTCTGGTGAGTGTGGTCTGCTTTAGCACTTACAGTAACCCTGACCAAGGGAAATGGGAAGCGCTAGATGGACGAGGCTGCTGCAAACGGTTTTACCAGTAAACCCTTAGTTTTAATAAGTAGGAGTACACCCTAAAATACCCATAAAAGGTACAGTGCAGTAGGCACACAAATCAGCGCTGAGGTTGTTTATTAGCATGCTCACGTGTTACGTGCTCTCTGGAGCTGTGTGTGCTCCGTCTGTTTGGCTGGCAGTGCAGTAGTGTGCTCACATGGCGTCAGACCCAGAAGCCGAGCACTGCACCACTTCGGGCAACGGTGACCGGCGTCCCCAGGTGACAGGGCCTGCTGGGCTCCTTTCTGACCTCCGAGGCCCCCAACCGTGCAGTCTGCCCCTGACTGCCAGGTGCTGTTATCCTGTCCCGCACATGGCCGATTGTTAAAGAAGCAAGTCAGGAATGCATGGACGGGCTTAATGCAGAATGGATAGACCAAAGCTGTCCTCCTCTTTGGCTTCCACCCCGGCTGCACTGTCATCTTAATCCCAACTTGATGTTTTTACAGAAGATGAAGGTCAGTTGGCCAAACTAAGAATTATTTTATAACCGTCCTCTGGAATACAGTTAAAATCTTGGTGGAGGTAAACAGGTGTTTGGGGGCCTGCAGCTGGCATTCCTGTTGTCACCCCAGCTTTCCAGCTGGTGAGGGCACCAGAGTGGACCGAAGAGCCCTGGGTTCAGGCCAGCTTTGGGGCCGGTGGAATTAAGCTTGGTCCAGTTTCTGCCCCTAGCTGGGTTGCTGGAGAGAGGTCCCCCAGGGAGCCCCGCATTCTCGTCTCTGGGCTGCTGGGGTTTGAGTTGAGGAGCCCCACACCCCACTGTGTCCAGGTGCTGGGTAAAGAGGCTCCTACATTATTGGATGGAGCACTGCTGCATGGCATTTGGATTTGAGGTAAACGCTACCTTTGGCATGTTTTCTCGACATCTGCCCCCTTGTGTCGTCCTGGTCCCCCAAAACAAGTGTCTCCCAGAAAGCCTGCATCCTGGCACAGAACGGGGCTGATGTGCCACTGCTCCATTGGGGTGGCCCCACTCCAAACAGGAAATGCATAGCAGTTGCTTCGGTACGGATCACTGCAGAAATTCGGGGAGCAAGAGGGGGCCTTGGTCATCCTGACCCAGAACTTCAGAAGCCACAGGGAAGAAACAGCAGCCACATCCCTAGAACACGGGTGACCAGGGACACAACCCTTTTTATACCACAGTGAGGCAGTGGCCTGGAGCAGCTGCGATGGGAAGCAGAGCAAGTCCCTGGCTTTTCCAGCTTCTGCTCAGTCAGGAAAAAGGCCTCGGGAGGGCTGAGAGCCGCAGGGTTAGAATGTTTGTTGATAACTGGACCCCACTTAAATGAGCAGCAGTATGGCTGTTCCTTAACCGGTAAGACTGTATCCTAGCAGGGCTGAGGTGAGGACTCCATCCTCAGCTGTAACTGTTTCCCAAGTGACCAGGGACGTGTTGGAAGGGTCAGGTGAAGCCCGCAGGCCACCCACCCGCCTCGCCCCCTTCACACCCTGAGCTCATAGCGACCTGTGCACCACAGCTGCCGACCCTGGAAGGAAACCACAGGGAGAAGGAATGCGCTGACCATGTTTGTTTGCCTTGTCTAAAATGAGCTGTGAAGTCCTGCAGTGCCTGCATCAGGAGTTGCTGGCCTGGCTGTCTGTCTGTGTGTCTGTCTGTCTTAGGCAGGGAGACGCCGCCAGGGCCTTTGTCTGTGTAACAGCCGAGATGTATTTGTCTCTGTGCTCTGCTCGGTGTTTTGAAGCCGGCTCTCGCCTGGGCTCTTGGCCTAGTTGAGGAGGGAGCTGGATTCCAGCTCTGGATTGGGCTTGCGCCTGCGTGCAGCTCGTCAGTGGGGTGACCTGTCCTGGGGGTCTGTGTCCAGCAGGGTGGGCAGGCGTACAGCATGGCACAGCCGGAGACTGGCCCATCCTGGCCCAACCCTGCACCTCCCCAACTGTGGAACCCACCGCAGCAGGGTGAACAAGCCAAGGTGACTTCCCACTTCAAAACTCTGATCTGGGCTGGGGATTTAGCTCAGTGGTGCCACCGCCTGCCTTGCAAGCACAAGGTCCCAAGTTCGATCCCTGGTACCAAAAGAAAACTCTGATCTGAGGTCAGAACTGTCCCCAAGGACACGTGGCAGCCCCAGTGGAGGCCTCCACACATCTGGCGAAGGGCCACGGCTTTGGGGCAAAAAGGCACACCCCCAAACCTGAGCAGTGCCGCTTCGGCCAGCGACTCGGCCTCTCCGAACCCTGCTCCTACTCCTAGCACATCAGCGCTGTCACAGGCTGCACCCGTGTCCAGCCAGGTGCCCCTTTCCCTGGTCAGCCTGTCTGGGCTGTGGCGCCAATTCAGATCGACTTCACTTCCTTTAAAAGCAGAAACATGTGAGCCTGGCCTTGGAAACTGACCACTAGGGGGCGTGAGTGGGTGATTGGGCCCTCTCCCCAGCTGGGCACCAGGCTGCCCACGTGTGACATCACTGCTTCCTCCGGTGTCACTTCCTCCGGTGCCACCTCTTGGCACATCCCGTCTCGTCACTTCCTGCGTCTTCCCCTGGCCTCCAGGACGCCCCCTCCCCGGCTCTCTGGCCCTCCAGGGGTCTTTGGCTGCCCTGTACCTCGGGGTCTTTCGGGCTTGTGTCAGGCTGGTCCACACACCTGCTGGCATCTCTAGGGGACCTGGGCCGTCCCTGGGAGTGCAGGGGACCTGCACACAGGTAGGCTGCGCACGTGTTCAGGGCACAGCCCTGTCACAGATCCTGGCAGTGGCGCAGCACGTACCTGCTGACCCGCTCGCCCGTCCCCGCCCTCTCCCACCGTGGCACCGCGCAGTGGTTCCTGTGGGACCCCGGCAGTGGCCCGCCCACCGCACCTCCCAGGGCGACCATCTCGCTGGACTGCAGCCCCGTCTCCTTACAGGAAGGCACCCGAGGACGGCCCTGGTCAACGCTCCTGCTGCCCCTGCAGGGCTGGGGCTGGGGCTGGGGCCGGGGCTGGGGGAGGCGCTGCGCTCCCTTCCCCGACGCCAGCCAGGCCGGCCGGACTGCACTCAGGGATCTCAGACTGCCTGGGTGTCGCTGCCCCCGAGAGGCACCAGTGGACGTCCTGCCCTGCTGGCCGCTGCCATTCTGGGCCGGGTGCCGCTCCTTCCTCCCCACACAGGCCCTGCGTCTCGCCTGTGTGCAGGTGCCAGGCCGGCGTGGGGCAGGTGAGGACCTCTTCCCGGGACGACTTTGTCCCACTCAGGAAGTGGGCGCTTTGTCACACAGGAAGTGTCACTGTCAGCTGCCACAGGACCGAGCCTCCGAGGGAGAGGGACCTGGCATGAGGTGGTCCTGCCCTAGAAGAGCCAGACCAGGCTGGGCTCCTGGGAAGGGGGCTGGTGGTACCTGAAAGCAGCTCCAGGGCCATGTTCCCGGGAGGGGCCTTTCCCGGGCTCCTGACGTCCTAAACAACGAGCTGAGTGGCAGCGGGGGCAGTGGTTTCCCTGGAGGAGGAAAGACAGGACCCTCCCCAGGGAGAAGAGCTCGCAGCCCGGGGGGCTTGGCCTTGGGGGTCTTAGACTTCAGGGTTTGGGGCGGACTGAGGGGTTGGTCTGAGGTGTGACTCCCACCCTGAGCGGCCCACTCAGCCCCTCCGTGGGGCGATGGAGCTCGTGGTCTCCTGGGGCCCCTGGAGGAACTGTATGGCGCCCACGGCCCCCAGGGGCCAGAAGACCACTGTGCGCATGCGCGGGGCGCCCTGCGGATAAACCCCGCTACCGGGCTACTTTCTCCCGCGGTGATTCGACCTGGGCGGGCTGCGCCTGGGCCTCCCTTTAACCCGGAAGGTGGGTCCATTCCCGAAATGTACTCCAACTCGGGCCCTCCTTCATTCCCAGCCGTTTCCTTGGCTACCTTTTGCCTCCGGCCACATTTAAGACTTGTCTTACGATTTAGTTGCCCGTTGCTGGCTGCTGTGTGAGCAGGGGCGGGTTCCAGCGCCTCTCCGTGCCTCGGTTTCCTCCTCCGTACAGCGCAGGGAGCTGATCCCTCCCGGCTGGGCTGTTCCAGCACGGCAGGAATCATTGCTGCAGCGCTTTTACCCCGGCCCAGTGCTCCGCTCTTCCCGCCATCACTTCCTAGGACGGGTGTCCCACTGCTCTGCCGAGGAGGCACTGTCCGTCCCCGTGGACATCGGGCCAGTGGCGCTGCTTCCTATGACCGCCGCTCACGTGTGGGTCTTGTCTAGATTCCAGAGTTCTCCGACGGTTTCTGGACGGGCGCCCAGCTGGCGTGCTGGACCAACTCCGAGACGCCGTGGGCGTACTTCCCGAAAATCTCCATCTACCTGCGAGAGGAGAACTCCAGCCGGTCCTTCCGCATAACTATCCTGCCTCAGGTACGGGCTTGGCTTCCTGCTTCCCCCATCTCTCTTTCTCTTTACATGTAACATGCAGAAGTCAGCGCATTCACGCCCAGAGGTTGCACTGTGGGATCACAGCTCTCCCGGATGCCTTGCCTCAGTAACGAGGCCGTGTGGGTGGCTGCCCCTGAGCCCACAGGTCCCAGCCAGGCCGGCTCCTGGTTCTTGGAGCCCAGGTCCAGATTCCTGGCTGAGGACAGTGACTGCCCTTGGAACAAGAAGAGCTCAGGGCCACATCTCAATGGCGAGGCCCCAAGGAAAGGTGAGGAGCTGAGGGCGCTTTTGTAATTTCTGCCACAGCACCATTTTCTAATTTTTCCTTGTACCAAAAAAGGATAAAACTGCTGGGAGTGGCAGCACACGCCTGTAATTTCACTACCTGGGAGGCGGAGGCAGGAGGGTCGCTACAAGTTCAGGGCAGCTGGGGCTACAGGGTGAGTTCAAGGCCAGCCTGGAATATGTAGTGAGATCCTGTCTCATTTTTTAAAAATGTTTTTATTTGGTACATTTTAGATACACATAATGATAACATTCATCATAGGGAATTTGTACCTGTGCATGTTATAGCTTGCTACTTCTTTCTTACAGTTTCCCCTCCCTTCATCCTGCTTCCCCTCCTTATTTACAAAAGCTTTGTTTCCATTTTTTCCTTCTATTTTCATTTTCTTTTCTTGTCCCTTCCTTCCTTTGCCCCTCCCCGCTCATATGTTCCCCTTCCCATTTGAACATTTTCTTCCCATTTCCCAGTATCTATGACTCATTTTTTAAAAATAAAATAAAATGAAGCTGATTGTCAGGGATGGAGACATCACTGTTTTTCCCTAGAGTTCCAGTCCCCACGGACTCCTGCTTTATCCTGAGCATGTCAGGGAGCCGACACCCAGCCAGTGCCCGGCTCCATGCTGCCCCTGCCCACCACGCGCGTGCCTGGGCTCCCACCCGGTTAGGGCGACTCAGCTTCATCCACCTTCCTGGCTCTGAGACCTGCACCCTGCCTGGCCCGGCTGCTGGGGCTTCCCCAACACAGGCGCCTCTCCCGGCTGGCTGTTGGGCACCTCGCCTGTCCCCTCTCCCACCCCGAGTCGAAGCCCCCGCCTGTGCCCAGATCCCTCAACCCTCTAAGATCGGCTCACACAGCCTTTGCTTTTGTTGAAACTGCTGAGCAAAGTGACCATTGTCCCCTTGCACCATACATATTTTCCAGGCCACTATGCTGCTCTGGAGTCATTTCTGTAGGGCGTGTTTTGAGTTCTGTTTTTGTTTTTTAAAAGTCATCTTGTGTTTCTTCAACTAATCATTAATTCCCCTCGGGTAAAGGAGGGCTCCATGGGCTTTGGGGCTCAACTCTTCTCTCCAGGCAGCCGGCAGTCCAGGGAGGAGGCGCACGTTAGCTGCCTGCTGGACAGACACAGCAGGGCGTCCAGGTTGTGATTTGACGGACTAGGGATGAAGGGCCGGGGCTGAAGGAGAAGCAAGAAGGAACCATTTCAGAGATCAGTGATATAACACTGCCTGTCTCCGTGCTTCATTTCTGCTCGGCGGTGTGTGCGCTCCGGAAACTTGGAGGTTGTAGGGGAAAGAATGGAAGGTTTTAAGAGAACTATAGCTCCCAGCCGGGCCTGGTGTAATCCCAGCACTCTGGGAGGCTGAGGCAGGAGGATCACAAGTTTGAGTCCTTCCTGGGTGACTTAGTGAGACTCTGTTTTGAAATAAAAGAGGTCTGGGGGTGTAGCTCAGTGTGAACGTTCTGGGTTCAGTGCTCGTGCCACTAAAAGAGAAAGGAAGGGGGAGGGAAGGAAAGGGGAACAAGGAGAAGGGGAAGGAGAAAGGAAAAGAAATTATGTTCTCAATCCTACCCTTGACTCTGCTGTAACTGAGTGAATTGCTGAACCCTTCCTGTGCCTGTCTCTTTCACTGTAAGAGAAATGATATTTGCCAAAGACATTTCCAGATGAGAGCAGCGTCCTTGGTTGCTTGGAGCAGTGTTAGGAAGACAGGCTCACAGCATCTCTGAAACACCACGTTCCTCACCATGACATTTCAGTCAGGCAGAGAGCGAAGCACGGATGTTATCTCCTCAGCGTGCTTCGCCCCTGGTGTCCCGAAGCTGGAGGACAGAGGTAGGGGTGCCTGGGGAATTTCGGAGCTGAAGGCTCCTGTGGGGTCGTCACCTGGTTTTCGGGCCAGGCGCTGGGTGACAGGGAGGGTAGTGGCAGAGCACTGGGGACAGTCGCTCTGCATGGGAATTCTTATGACTCGCACTTAGGAGAGGGAAGATATCTTTGAAGTTGGCTTTGGCCTATTCCGTTTTGATTTTTACGGATCTGTTTTCTGGTTCCTTACCCACACCACATCCAGTTTGTGACCTGTTGCCCTGCCGGAGGACAGAGATAACCAAAGGGAAACGGCCCAGAGCTGCGCTGTGCTCCCCCGGGGCAGTGATGGGCTTCTTATCCCCGGGGTCTGAGCACTGTCCGCTCTGTGGGGCCTTCAGGCATCTGCAGTAGTAGACGACAAAGGACCGCTAGTGGGGAAGAGAGATCAGGGGAGTCTTTGCACTTCTCTTCCCAATGGTGTTTCCCAGAACACGAGAGTTAAATCCACTTGTTCTGAGCAAGGAAAAACATGATGACCAAAAAGAGCCCCTGGCCCACAGGGGAAGTTTGATTTTTCTCTTTTCAAAAAATAAAAACGTAAAAAGACCCTTTACTGTGTACCCACTTGCAGTCTGAATGCCACTGCTTTTTCTGTTCATGCTGTTTTGGGTGAAGGCAGACAGTTTCTCCTGAGACCCAACAAGACTGAAGCCTCCCGGCACGTGAGGAGATGTGTGGTCCGGAGTTGTCCCTGGGATCCGCTTGGGCACACAGGACCGGCTGTGAGAGGGACGTTGGGCTACATGGGGTTTACATCCACATCCATGGCCCTGTACAGTAGTGATTGAAATCTATGTGAGTGTTTAAATGTTAAAAGGTGATTATAGTAAAAGACACATTGCCGAGAATCCCCCTCATAATACTCCCTGAGGGGCTTTATGACATGGGATCAAAAATATGGTGAGTGCTGCTGCCCAGGGTCCGCCAACAGAAAGGCAGCTTGTAAACACACACTGTGTCCTCATCCACCTTAGTCACCCTGTCTGGCACCGTGTGACTTCCGGCTCTTCCCCGAGGTCAAAATGACCACAAAAAGGAAACGTTCACGACACTGAGGCAGCCAGGACAGCGCAACTAAAGACACTCAGGGAAGAGGGCTCCAGAGCTGCTGCAGGAAGGGGCAAGGATGGAGGGAGGAGGGTGTGTGAAGCGGAGGGGAGGACTCATGGCAATGTGTGTTTTTACTGTAATAAACACTGTATTTTTCAGTCACATCTCATAAGTAATTGGGTTTCTTATGGAATGATGGCATTCAGAGTGTGTGAGTGAGTGAGTGTGTGTGTGTAGGCTGCTGCAGACCTGGCTGCTTACAGAACCTTAAATGACAGTGTTCGGGTGGCTGCTAAGCGTTACTCCTGCATTTCCCTCATTTCGGTGGATTTCACTCGAGCTCATTTCCCTGAGCCTGGGTTGCAGTCAGCACCCGCACTGGTGTGGCAGCCAGCGGGGCCCAGCAGTGCACGGCAGGTCCCCAGGAGAGGCTGCTTGCTGCCAGCCAATGGTGACACTGGGAGCCCCACCTGCCTGACGCGGAAGTGCTGTGCGTCCTCTCTCGGTGCTGGTCACATACGGACCCATGGACTGTGGACACACGGGCACTGTGCGCGATACAGGAGGGGTGTCTCTTCAGGAGGCGTGTCTCTTCTCCTGTGCCGGTCCCTTTCAGCGCCGTGGAGCTCTCTTATTTCACGTTCACCTCCCAGTTTCCGTTCCACCTCCTCCACAAGCTCCTCGTCCTGCTCTCCACATGACAGGGGCCTCCCGTGCCCTTCGGGGGCTCTGAGCTTGGTGTGCCCTCCATTCCCTGATGCGGCCTGACTTGCACGTTTCCGTTTTTCTTCCTCTCTTCAACAAACAGCTTTACATCCAGCCCATGATGGGTGCCGGCCTGAACTACGAATGCTACCGATTCGGCATCTCCCCCTCCACCAACGCGCTGGTGATCGGCGCCACCGTGATGGAGGGCTTCTATGTGGTCTTCGACCGAGCTCGCAGGAGAGTGGGCTTCGCAGCGAGCCCCTGTGCAGGTAAGCACCCGGGTGACAGCAGGGCCACTGTGCCGGCGTGACAAGTCCTGGGCAGCACATCGGCGCTGCACAGCTGTCTGACACGTGCCTGTGATCACGGGTCACGGGCTCACTGGCAGCATTCAGTGACAGCATCCTGGGAAACCTTCATCCCAGCCCTGGGTGCACTGCAGATGCAAATGTGCCTCTCGCAGGAAGCTGAAAATCCCATTCCACACCAGCTGGAAATGTACTCAGCGGCCCTTGATTTTGAAATACAGTTTCGTTTGTTGGGTGCTGGCAGTGAACCCAGGGCCTCGTATGTGCCAACCACGTGCTCTCCCACTGAGCTTGACCAGCCCTTGAATTACAGCTTTTTGACAGTTAAAGTCAAACAAATACAGTAGAAAACTCATATGTAAGTTGCGTCTATTTTCCCCCCAAAGCAGTCTCATTATGAAATAGCACAAGGTGTGACCAAAGTATGATGTGCCTAAATAAGAACAATGTATTGCAGTGAAAGACACATTGCTGTGAATCCCTCTTGCTCTGAACACACTCATCCCCTCGTCCTGGCCACTTCCTGCAGCGGCTCTGGAGTCCTCTTTCCTGAGTGTCTTTAGCTGCGCTGTCCTGGCTGCCTCGATGTCCTGAATGGATTCAAAACGTTTCCCTTCCTGGTCATTTTGACTTTGGGGAAGAGCCGGAAGTCACACGGTGCCAGATCCGGTGACTAAGGTGCATGAGGACACAGCATGGTGTCTTTATGAGCTGCCTTTCCACTGGATGGCGCTCGGCAGCAGCAGTCACTGTATTTTTTGTCACACTTTTTAAAGACCCTCAGGAAAAGAGGACTCCAGAGCTGCTTCAGACATGGACGGTGGCAAGGACCATGGGATGAATGTGTTCAAAGTGAGGGGGAGGATTTTGAGGGGGATTCTTGGCAATGTGTCTTTTACTGTAGCTTTAATTGAAATATTCAGTATTTTTGATGCTCCCTTGTAAATACTTATCACTGCGATTTCTTGAAATTCTAAAATAATGAGGCCCTAGAGCCATTTTTCTGGGAGAACTCTTCTGAAAGGCCAGCGTGAGGGTGATGGCGTGTCATGGTCCAGCGTGGGGATCGGACAGACAGCACAAGGCTGACGGGACAGGTGAGCCCCAGGCTGTGGCACCTTCAGGCAGAACAGGGGCGCGGGCAGGGCTCGTGTGGCCTGGCTTCCGGGAGGATCAGACCCAAGACTGGCAGTCCCGGCTGACCCGGAAGAGGCACACGGAGGGAGATTGGGTGAGGCTGAGCTGCTGGAGACCCGTGCCAGGAGAGCCTGTGCCAGGGAGGTGGCCGGGACAGCCGCAGCATTTCAAAACAGGGTTTCAAAGCACAGAAAACATTTCGGTCCACTGGACCTGGGTCAGGAGCAGAAGGGAACCCTAAAGTTGTGCTGGTCGGGTGCTAAGGGAGGGAACAATGAAACTGTGAGGTTTAGAACTGATAACGAGGAGGAGGAATGGAAGAAAATTGGGGAGCTAAGAGTGGGGTCTCTCCATGCAGTTGAGAGGAAGGAATTGTGAACTTGATGGGAAAAAGCCTGAAACGTTAGAGAGAACTAGGGGACAAGGAGGGATGCTGGCCTGGCCAGCTGGGAGATTTCCCGTGCTGGGGATCGAACCCACTGAGCTAGGTCCCCAGTCCTTTTCCTTTGAGACAGGGTCTTACTGAGTTGCTCAGTTCCCCAGGCTGGGCTCCAATTTGAGACCCTCCTGCCTCAGCCTTCCAGAGTGCTGGGTCACAGGTGTGCACCACATGCCTGGCCGAGATTTCGCCTCTCTTTTAATACCCGAATCTTTGACTAGAGCAGGTAAGTGGCGCTGCATATTCGTATGTCGACACACTGGCATTTCCGGAAGTGCAACTCGGAGAATGGAAGAGAGCGATATTAAAAGGAAGAAGACATCATCCCTGTGATGCAGCCGATTCTTATTCTGCACCAAATCCCTGAGCCTTGCCTGTGTAAATAGCAGGTGGCGATGGGTCTTCTTAAACTGCAGTGCGGGCTTATTTGTGGGTGAACAGAGCTGGAATCTTGGTGCTGGTGGAGGAACTGTTCAGCACAAACCCTTCCTGCCAGTGGTGTGGTCGATGCCCGAGACCCCTCTCCACAGCTCTGAGGGGGACTGGGCAGCCCAAAATGTTCCTGTAGCTCCTGGCAATGAATATTTTACCTCTTCATAGCCATGGGAATCTAAGCACTACCGCAATTTTCCCCATAGTTTCTGGTCTCTTGTTAGTTGCCAGTAAAGTAGGGGCTGCTATAGCAACAGCTACCACCACGTCCACTTAACCCTGCCAAGGTGAGATAACCAAGCCTTGTCCCAGGGAGCTGCTGTGGGGAATTGCTTAATCCTCAGTGTCGCCAGGCCAGGGATGGCGTTCCCCACATTTCACCCTGATTGTCGGGTGCTCTGATACACGGTTTCTTGTCGTCGATCTGTTTCAAGTGCATTTAGGGCCTTGGTACTTAAACATTTGCCCTCACCAGCTGTGTGGACAGACCCTGGTCTATGCCTCCCCTTCCGTGCAAATTACGTGGCCGTTAAACCAGAGACTTTCCCCAGGGCTGCAGTGAGAGGAACCAGGCTCCGCAGCGCTGTAGTAAATGGAATGCATGCCCGACCTTTCTCTAAGTCGTTAGTTTTAACTCTAAAATGTTTGAAGTAATAAAGTGCTATAAATTATGAAAAACCACACAGTGTCCTTCAGTGTCCATGTGGAGTTAGTTCCAGGCAGCTCGCGGGTAACAGAATCCGAGCCTTTCGTGCAAAGTGGCATAGCATTGCCTGTGACGTTTGCACCTGCCCAGCTGCCTCGCAGCACCCCGGGCTGCATGTGAAGTTCGGTCCAGTGTCAGTGCTTGTCAGAGAGCTGTTTTACTCTGCAGCTGCGGGAGTGAAGATGAGAAAAGTCGGTACACTTTCACGACAAACACATTTTTTTTTAATATTTGGGGATCCCACAAATGTTAGCGTTTTGTTATATTTTCTTCCAAAGTTTGTCATAAAAACACAAAAACAACTAGGGAGTGCTCCATGCCAGCCACTCCCCTGGAGTTACTCTGCCTTGCAACTAATGTGTGCTTTCCTCCTGATTACGTGGGGTTATAATCGTGCTGCACAGGTATATGTACTCTTAATGGTTATTTATGCTGCTGCATAACAACGTCCCCCAAATTTAGCAACTCTTTTTTCTTTCAGTACTGGAGGTTGAACCCGGGGCTTTCACACTGGGCCCACATCCCCAGCCTTTTATTAAGATGTTTTATTTTTGAGACAAGATCTCACTAAATCACTAAGTTGCCCAGTCTGGGCTTGAATTTGCGATCCTCCTGCCTCAGCCTCCTGAGTGCTGGGCTGACAGAGTGCCGCCATCTGCAGCTCTTAGCAGCTCTCTGTTACAGTTTCTTGGCGGTGGGGCACAGTTTGCTGGCTGGTTCTGCCTCAGGCCCCTCTCCTGAGCCACAGCCATATGATGTGCTTCCAAGGCCACTCCTGGGCTGTTGGAAGGGGTCCCTCCGGTCCTTCCCCTGAACAGCATCACCACAGCTGCTGCATGGCCTCAGGAGCGGGCACCTGGTCACCCCAGAGTGAATGACAGCGAGACAGAGAGGAGCCAGGCACTTAGGATGGAGGCCACAGCCTTCCCGTGACCCGATCTCAGCAGGGCCCTGCCGTCCCTTGTGCCTGGACTCAGTGGTCCAGAGCAGTGGCACCCAGTGGAGGGGACAGCACGGGCTGGAAGCCAGGAAACAGGTGCCTGGGCATGGTCTTCAGAGCTGCCTGCCACAGAATTACAACAAACTTGGGTGTGTCCATTGGTCGGTTTGCAGTAGCCGTGCTCCTTCCAGTTTTAAATCTCCATAAGTGCTTATGGTGCTGCGAGTGTCATTTGTCAACTTGATGTCTTTGTTGAGCATTGCAGTCTAGAGTTTCCATGTTGAGCGGTGCTTGGTCTTGCATTTGGTCTACAGCGTCATCCCATGGTACGAACGTTCCCAGATTACTAACCCAGCCCCCTGCTGATCAACACTCGGGTTGTTTCTAATGTTTGCAGTTCACAGTACTGCATGGAACATCTCTGTGCCCACAAATGAGACCTTTGTCATTGTCACTTGGTGCTCTCACGTTGGTCTTTGAAGTCCTTGAAACACCAGGGTTATACAGTGGAAGGACTTCCTTTCCCGCGAAGGATTTGTACACTGGGTTTCTCTTGTGTGTTGCCATTTGATGTGTGTGAGACCTCATCACACCTCAGTGGATCACATTCGGGATTCCAGGACTGTTGACAGGTCCACAGGATGTTCGTGCTTTCTCTTTGAGGGTGAGTTTTCCTTACTCTGTCTGGTGCACGTTTCTGTGCTTTTCTAAACACTTCACATGTGTGAGTTTCTTTGGGTTTTATTTTCTAATCTCTCTGACTTTTTCTTTTTACTTGTTTTTGGTTGTCTTCACTTTTTTAGGTTTAGTGAAAGCAAATTTACCAGTTTTTTCCTGCTGGCCTGTACTCTGCTTTATTTAAGAAATCCTTGGGCTGGGCGTGAGGCCAGGGTAGAGTGTTTCTCTAGAATGTGTGAGACTCTGGGTTCCAACCCCATCGATGCAAAAACTAGCAAACAACAAGGAAAGAGATTCTCCCTTAATCTAAGAAAAAAAGAGAGATGATTTTCTTCTAAAAATACTGCTTGCTTCTTATTTTTCTTCTAAAATGTGAGCTAGGTATCTGATTTTTGTAAGGATGTTCAAGTTTCTCAGCATCATTTAGTGAATATATGATGTTTTCCTCCTCTCTGATTCTTCTAATAATTTATTATGAAATCGTTAATACATAAGAAAGACTAAATAATACAATGATGTCCCTGTATACCAACCATGTAGATTTAATCATTTTAACATTTTCCCATTTGCCGTTATGTGTGTTTATGTAGTTTTTACTGAACCATTGGAAATAAGTTGCAGGTCTTATG